AAATAATTACAAAAGTGCATGAAGTTGGACAGTTAGTACATAAGTTTTATAAGTACATTTAAAAACAGGTGATGTATGATAGATAGTAATACTACTACTCTTATTCACAGTTTGTAATAGAATCATTCACATATGTAAGCATATTTAACTTACACGATAGATTTCTGAGGTGGAATTCATCTCATTTTTATAAATGAGAAAACCAAGGCCCAGAAAGTTTAAAATGTTCAAGGGATCTGTACTCTGCAATAGTGAATCAAATTTTGCCTAAGTTATTTTATAATTAAATGGTACAAAACCTGAATTTCTAAAATATTATGAAGATTAAAAATAATGCCTAAACTAGGGTACTTTTATTTTTGCCTTCCTTGGTTGTTTAATACTGATGAAAGTATATGATTGAAGTATTCCACTGAACACTGAAAATAATAATGTAATAGAATATATTTAATCCTAATGTCTAGGAAATAATTATTATGTTTAATTGGAATGGGAGCATCTTGTATTATTTTATCTCAGTGTGACAAGAAGAAATAAAGTAACAGAAATAAGTGTAGGAAAATTGATATATTTTATAATCTTCAGCTTTATTCCTAAAAATTATAGTAATTCTCACAGACATTGTATAATGTTTAAAATGGGGGGTGCAAAATTGAATTAAAAAGAATCATTTTAATTTTTGAATGTATTTGATTAATTTTATAAATTTGATTCAAATAACATTATTTCAATTTTATATGACTTCTAAAAAATTCAAGTAATTAGGGCCAGAGAAAAGGATACAGGAAGGAGATTATCAAGAAAAGCAACAAATATATTCTTTTAGTTTATGTAATAGTTTTATATCACTTTAATTAATTCCTTTTGATTTCCCATTTGTTAGAATATCTCACATAATACTTTTAACCTGTGAGAACAAGCTTTCTTTTTTCCTTTTTATTTTACTTGTGATTTTTTCCATCATATCTACCTAAATAAGTGTGGTAACCAGTGTAATTGTTCACTAGTTATATGTATGTAATTATCCATTATGCTTAACTATGATTGTTTTTTAAATTTTTTAAATAAAAAAAATGTGTTATTCCTAGGGAAAAGGTGCATTGTAGAAAACTTGGAAAATTAAAAAAAAAAAGATAAAGTAGGCCATAAAATCATCTATAACTCCAACCAATATCGCCCAGAGAACTACCACAAATCCTCCAATATATTTACATGTCTCCTGGTGGAACAGCAATATGGAAGAATACGGTAGTCTAAATTGGCCAATGGATAATTATAAATGGTTTTCAGAATAGTTTGTTATTTAGCTAAGCTGGCCATTGGTCTTACAAAAATTGTAATGACCTCGAGAGAGAGAATAAATATGAACGAATATGCATTCCTGGCACGACTGCCCCAAATTCTTGGAAATTCTGATTAATACTCAGTAATTATTATTGTAACTGTGATATACCTGAGATATATTTTTAAGGTTAGTTTATGAGCTGTGAGTCTTAAGATTTTCCTGCCTTTTTGATCTGATGTGTTACTCATGCATTCAAGAGACATGATCTCTGTCATCATGCTATGTATATATCACAAATAAAGTCATAACATTTATTGTAGTTTAATTATCACACCAATAATAGTGTAAATACCTCATAAATCACTTTGTTTTCATAGCTGAAAACTGTTATTGGCAGAAAGGCTGTACAAAAATGTCTTTGAGCAAGAAGCGTGGGTAGCCATATCACTACATAGTATATGCTAGAAAATAGGAAATACGAGGTATAACCCTTTTCACTCTTGTTTTTCATTTAGACCAGAACACCAACAAGGGAGTTATGAGTCTAGATTTGACTTACCTAGGAAATTATTTTTCTTCTTGACAAATCAAATGGTGATAATTACGGAATATTGTTATACTCTATTTTTGAAGGATCTCAGCACTTTTAGGGAAAATAACTTGTTTTATTTCTTCCAATACTTGTCCAACAGTATCAATTACAGTTTTCTGTATTGGTGAAGGGCTCCCTCAACAATGTCATGGTCTAATATCATTACTTTTCTGTCACTTTTGTTTATAATAACCATCTCATTTTGTTAATCGTTATGTATTCTTCACTTTAAAACTTCAATCTCAAATTTAATTCACTTCCTCTCCCTTCAATTGGAGCTATTGTCTCAGCTGCTTTCAGGAGAGAAGAGAGGTGGAAGAGCAGAAAGGTAGGGGAGTTGGAAGGCAGAGATGGGGGTCTCCTACCTTCTGAAAAATCTAGACCTTACAGGGTACCAGCCTCAAGGGACCTGTGTCAAACATTGCCTTCTCATTGTGGAGGAAGGGCGGAAAAGGACACTGTTCTGTGTTCCTCAGCTCTCAGAAGGCACTTCCTGTCACCTGACATTCTCTTCCATTGGCAGCCGAAGTGTGGACCTGCAGGCAGGTTCTGTAGCTGACTAGGGAGCCAGATGCTATCCTAGCCTTCTCATGAACACCCCAGATCTTTGAGCTCCCCTTCACTTGTCTTTGGGGAGTGGAAAGACCTCCTTCTGCCCTCCCAAGAGGTAGGAAGAGCCTCTCACTTTGAGTACTCTTTGTGGAGAAGGGTCTGACCCTAATGTAAGAACTCATGGATTCATTGGCATCTGTGAGCGAAGCATGAGGATACTTAGCATCTTTTATTTTCAGCTTTGGACCTTATTTGGAATTTGAGAATACAGAAATAATTCCAGCCAACATCTGTTACCTTGCAATAGAAAACAAAACCCTTAGTATCCACCCAAATCAGTTACTGCCAATTCAGTACTCTAATAATAGCTTTTAACAGCAGGATGAAGTTGTTTACAAAATTTCCCTTAGTAAATTTAGGTCTGGTGGGATGTACCCTCCTCAGGGTAAACTACTGAGCTTCCTGCTTTGCAGTGTATTCTCTCTTCCTTAAGGAGAGCATGGCACTCATCAACCAAGACACACACACACACACACACACACACACGGACCATTTAGGATGTAGCGTTTATGGTCTCACCTGTGAGGGTGAGGACCAGTTAGTCTTGATACTTTTAGAAAAGTTAGAAGGAAATTTCCATTCAAAGAAAAACCATGGTAGTTTTGAAGGCATTATAATTCAACATATTATCTAAAGCCTTCAGAGGTATGTTGTAAATTACCTTTTTTTGAGATAATAGCATTAAAAAAGCTTTGTTAAAAACAATAAAAGAGGATTGTATTTGTATTTGAAGATAAACTCTTTGTGATGAAAACATAAACTCCTCTTTTTGCTTCTTTTTACTGAACACACCATGTTTTTTTTATTCTAGTCCACACTAAACCGTTGGTAGAAAACAGTTTCCAGGACTGATTCTTGGGGAGGAGCCAGTACAGTTATGTTTCACCTTTGACATTGCGGTCGTTGCTAATTTCTATCTTACCCTTAAAAAATCGTCTTGAATAAGAAAACATTTCTTGAGTAAATAGTTTTTTGTGTTAATATCTGTAGGTCTTCAGTAGATTTTGGCAATTTACTGATTTAAAATTCTGGGTACAGCTGTTGAGAGTGATCAGCATGGCCTGATATGAAGGAGAGTAATTTGTAATTCTTCTGAGGCAGGTATTGGCATTGGATAATTTTAAAGCCAATCTGTGGTAAATATTCTTTGCTGGGGAATAGGCGCACCTCTGCTCAGCATCAGTTCACTCAGTGAACTGTGATTCTTGGCCTTTTATTGATTGAGATGCTTTGTTTTCTTGTGTTATGTGAGAGGGAAGACTTTAATTAACCTTTAAAAAAGGCAGTTAATTTCTGATAGGAAGCTAAGCACAAGCAATGTGAAAGGTATACGATTTAAGAGAAACACTGGAGCCAGCACAAATAGTTTCTTCTTCAAGAATTCAACAAATTGAGGTTGATTTGATAGTTAGCGATCTTTCCATTTCTACAAATTCTTTAAAACGAGGGGCTAAGGTGATAGGGAGTGATGTTTTTCCAGGATCTCTCCAAGAAATTCTGTCCAGTACCAAGTGGCCTAGACAGGACCTACAAGAGTCCTATTTAGTTTAATACATTTTTCTTTTTGTAAAATACAGGGTTTCCCCAAGTCCTGGGATTGGGGAAAAAATAATGTCTCATTACTTTAGCCAAATTCAAAGTTAGTAACAGCATTTAAGATATTAAATAAGAAGTAAAGTGTACACAAATGACAGACTATCACCAGCCTGTTTCTTTTTTTAATGTCATTCAGAGAAGAGGAATTTCAGTTTTTAGGAAATTTTGAACAGTATTAGAATAATACTGTTAATGCACAGGAAAGAGAAATGTTAAACGTGCCTTATCGGGCCGGCCGAGTGGNCCGGTTCGGATCCCACATATGAGGGCCAGTGACACTGCCCTCCACAGCTAAGATGCTGAACAACAGCTCAACCTGGAGCTGGGCTGCCAGTGAGTCGCCGGCGACGGCGTGGGCTGCAGCCCCTGTGGCAGTGGGTTGCCATGGGTTGCCGTGTGTAGCCAGCAGCCAGCGTGAGCGGCCAGCAGCCGCGGTGAGCGGCCGTCCAGAAGCCGGCGACTGATGTGCCTCCCCTGGGAAGAGCACAATGATGGTGCCAACTTGGACCAGTGAAGCAATGTCCTCCACAACTAGATTGAAGAACAAAAGGACAGCAACTTGTCTGTTCCCCTTCCCGCAATTCCCCAGCACTGTTCCCATCCCCCAATTCCCCAATAAAAATCTTGAAAAAAAAAAAAAAGAAAAAAAAAGTGCCTTATCAAGTAGCAGATCTGATGACTGAAACTATTAGGACTTTCACTTAGCTTGTGAAATAAAAGGACCCAGAGATCGTGAATTCTGCCATTGGCATATAGGCCATAGATTATGAGAGGCTTCCAAATTTGCTAAGTTTTTCTCCCCATTGGTATAATTTTGATTCATTTATATATTATTTGTTTTTTTGGAAAATGCTAATATTTTTCTCTAGCTGTATGTTGTGGAAATAATTTGAGTTTTATATTTTAATCTTTTAGGTATGATGTTGACTCAAAGAGCCCCAACTTGTCCAAACATGTAAGTTCATATTTTTATGTTTTTTATTATAATTACATAATATAAATACAAACTACAATATTATGACTTATGGTTGATAATGATGAAGATTTATTAATATTAAAATTACTGTCCATAACTTTCATGCAATAACTGTCATAGAAAATAAATAACACTTTAAAAGAACCCTAGAATAACATTCTAGGATAAAATTCTAACACTGGAGTAGCTTATTAAAAGAAAGATACCTTCCGTATGTGAAATTGATTAGTCTTATTTATTTAATTTTTTAATTATTATTTTTTATTTGAAATACACATATTTTTAGACTTAGTTTCAGCTGTACAACACAGTGCAATAGTTATGCTTTTTACCATTTAATTTTTTTAAAGAAATTATGCCAGTTCCCTGTAACATTTGAGGTTGGATGCAGTTAATAACGATGAAATAGTGAGTCTGTGTTTTGGTGGGTGCCACTCTGAGAGAATGGAAAACACAGGCAGCGTAATTTGCTATTCTGCTGTCCTTGTAGTTCATTTCTTCAACAATATTTTCTAAGCACCTCCTCGTGCCAGGCCAAATGCCAGTTCCTGACTGTACAATGTGAGCAAGATAGACATAGAGTCTGTCCTCAAGTCACGGACAGTCTCTTTTGTTCTTTTTGGGCTCTGATGTTCCCATTCCTCTTATGTTAAGAGCTCTACTCACCAGGCAACACCCTTTACCTGGGGACTTTACAGGTTCAGGAGCTGCAGGGGTGTCAGAGCTAGACAGGTAAAGAGGCGGAGGTGGGCAGGGTGAGGTCTCTGACTAAGCACTGGTACTCTGATCAACCTGTTTATTGACCTGTGGGATTGGCCTTAGGCCACACCTAGTAAGAAGGGCTGAATGGGTTAAAAGTGCATTCTGAAAGGGGCTTAACTAGGGGCCAAGTGAAATCTGAGTACATAGATGGAGACTTGGCAGCTGTGCCAGGGTTGAGAGCCAGTTGGCCCAGGGGCTCAGGAAGGTAGATTTTCCACTTTTCCATTGTTGTAGGTTATTAACTAGAAGAGAATATATATGATATATAATTATCCATCATAAATGCTTATACATGTATATGCTTATATATGATATATGATTGTGTATGATATATAATTATCTCTATCTCTATCTCTATATCTATATAATTTCTAGTGTAGTTTGGAGAGGGGGAATGTCATAATTTAAAGAAGAGAAGGGCATAAGGGGTGATCCCAAGCTCAGAGACTGATTTGGAGAAACTGGAAGCCTGGGTACGGTAGTAAAAATCATAATTTACTGCATTTTTTTTCATTAAACGGATAGTTATGGTGTTTATTATTATTATGAAGCATAGAGTGAAATCATTTAAAGAAAGATTCAAAGAAAAGTTTGTCTGATTGACTTTTGTGCAAATTGAAAAAAACAATGCTGTAATGTTACTCATTTCCATCAGTAAATTTCATTGTGGTTGTCATGCCACCTTCCCCCTCTTCATGATAAGATTTATAGCATTGTGGCTGGATGTTTAAAATTTCCATAGCTTTGCATAGGAAGTTTTCCAGATTTCATTGGAAGAATCATAAAAGAAGCCATATTTTTTAGTCAAAATTATTTAGTTGTGAGGCAAGAAAATGCGTTCACTTATCTCACACGTAGGTGGTTTACTAAGAGGATTTAGGAGCATCTCATGGGATGTGTAACTTGCATTTATGGGAACTGCAGCTAGAAACAGGCACAGGGGGTTGGAAGTGAAACAGCTATTCTCTCTGTCTCCCCTTTTCCCTCTCTCCCTCTGGCCACATATTCTTTACACTATGACTTTTCTCTGAGCTTCTGCTTCTCTCTCAAGACCAAGTTTCTCTGTTTATGTATAATTGTGCACATAGGGAAAATGACCTCCCTAACCCTGACTGGAGATAGACTTTCAAGTGCCCACTCTTCCTGAATGTAATTTCTGCATTTCTTGTTCAAACTAATCTTCAGAGGGCATAATAATTGGGCACTTGAGGACATTTCCATGGGGTTTGGATATTTGGAGGGTGAGTGTGAAAGTAGTAACATGATTTTTCCTAGCGTAGCTGCCTTGTGTTCAAGGCAGAGTAGTAGTGGGTTAGGAAGGTACATCAAACCTGATTAACTTTATCTTCTTTCAATAATCAGTAATGACGAAGTATTATTTTGTAAGAGATATATCATTTTTTAGAGTTGACTCATTCTTTCGTATTTTTTATTTTTAAATTTTTTTTATTAATTTTCTTATTTTTCAAATACAGTTGGCATACATTATATTAGTTTCAGGTGTACAACATAGTGATTAGACATTTATATAACTAGTGAAGTGATCACCCTGATAAGTCTAGTACCCATCTGACACCATACGTAGTTATTACAATATTATTGACTGTATTCTCTATGCTGTACTTTACATCCCCTGACTATTTTTAAAACTGGAATTCTGTACTTCTTAATCCCTTTCACCTTTTCCACCCATCCCTCCAACCTCCCTCCCATCTGGCAACCATCAATTTGCTCTCTGTATCTAGGAGTTTGTTTCTATTTTGTTTGTTCATTTATGTTGTGCTTTATATTCCACATATAAGTGAAATCATATGGCATTTGTTTCTCTGTCCAACTTATTTCACTTAGCATAATATCATCTAGGTCCACCCATGTCACAGGTAGCAAAATTTCATTCTCTTTTTATGGCCGAGTAGTATTCCACCGTGTACATGTACCACGTCTTCTGTATCCAATCGCCTATTGATAGGCACTTAGGTTGCTTCCATATCTTGGCTGTTGTAAATAGTGATGCAGTGAACATAGGGATACGTATATATTTTCATATTAGTGTTTTGGGTTTCTTTGGATAAATACCCATAAGTGGAATTTTCAGGCCATGCAGTAGTTCTATTTTTAATTTTCTGGAGAACCTCCATACTGTTTGCATAGTGGCTGCATCAGTTTACAAACCCACCAACAATACATGAGGGTTCCCTTTTCCCCACATCCTCACCCACACTTGTTATTTGTTGATTTACTGATGATAGCCATTCTGACAGGTGTGAGGTGAAATCACATTGTGGTTTTAATTTGCATTTCCCTGATAATTAGTGATGTTGAGCATCTTTTAATATGTCTGTTGGCATCTGTATGTCCTCTTAGGAGAAATGTCTGTTCAGATCCTCTGCCCATTTTTTATTTGGATTGTGTGTGTGTGCGTGTGTGTGTGTGTGTGTGTGTGTGTGTGTGTGTGTGAAGTTGTATGAGTTCTTTACATACTTTGTACATTAATGCCTTATTGGATGTATCACTGGCAACAACCATCACTTGGGGAGTTTGCAGGTTTGGGAGCAGCAGAATATCTTCTCCCCTTCCATAGGTTGTCTTTTCATTTGGTTGAAGGTGTGATATGTCTTGTAGAAGCCATGAATGTACATATCTTTTCAAATATATATATATATATATATATATATATATATATATATATATATATATATATACACACATATATGTATTAGAATACCTATATATATGTATTAGAATACCTTTTTTATTTCTAATAACATAAGTTTTATGTCCTCCTTATGATAAAAATTTCTTATTTTGACTCTGCTTTACCCTCATGAAATCTTTGTTACTATCTTCTCAGTACCATGCTTCTTTACAGAACAGCCTGAGTTTCTATCATAACTTCATTTTCATTCTCTATCCAACTTGCTTTACTGTATTCTGGTTTTTGTTTCTGCTTAAACTGTTCTGACATAGGTCAGATCAAAATTTAATGGCCTCTCTTCATTCTTTACCTTACTTGACCTCCCCATTATTTTGGACACAATTGACTATTCTTAAAATACTCACCTGCATGACTTCCGTAGAAACTTCTCCCTCGCTTTGTTTCCTAGATCTCTCTTTACTCATTATCATTTTTTTCATTTCTCTTTCTCCGCCTTTCTCTTAACATTAGTGTTTCCTCATGGCTTTATTTTCAATTTTCATCTCATCTCACTGTATGAGCTCTTCTCTGGAGATTTTAACCATTTCCATGCCTTACCCTGATGACTCCCAATTATCTATCCCTCTGTAACTTCAGCAATTCAAGTTGCAACAGCCTGTTAGCTTTATCTGGTAGATATTCTGCAGAAGATTAAAACTCAAACATATCTCAAATGTATAACTTTTTCCATCTCAATTTTGCTATTCTGCCTTTATTATCTATCTTGAGAATCACCCTCAACGCAGTATATTTAGTGGAATTGTTTCGTGGAATTGCTTCTCACCTAGAAATGCTTATCATCTTCCTCCCCTTGTATTTCAGGGTCTGCCTTCTTTAACTTCTTTTTGTTAGAGAAGAAAGCTGTTAGGTTGAAACTTGGATGTATTGTCAACCTCTAAGTTATATATTTGTTTATTTGCTCCATTCTTTCGTTCATTCATTCATAGTAGTGGGGATGGACTTTATTGAAACTTCCATACAATTCTCCTGACCCTTATGATGACAAAAACATTTCAAATTTATGAAAGAATACCTTTAAAAATGATACATCTAGTTCTTGAACAACTGAGAATAAAATTAATCAACAACACATGTAATATTGGCTTATTTAACACCATAGCACAGTGGTCCAGAAACCCTTTTAAAAGGAACTGAGAATCAAATTGTGTTTAACTTAAAACACATTAAATCCACCTCCATCAGACAGGGACTCAGAGATATTCCACCTGAGATATTCCACTCAGGGCTGGAGTGATGCCTTTAGAGAGCGGTAACAGCTCCAATCCAGGGGAGGGTTTGGAAAGCTCTGACAGCCTGAGTCAATCACTTTGGAACTCATGTTTCTTGTTAAGTCATCACTTCTTTATGCATCTTATCCCATTTCCTTGCCTCGGTGGAATCTGAGCACTAACTCTCTCAGGTGGAATTGCTTACCATCTTCCTCCACTTGTATTTTCCGGGTCAGTCTTCCTTTGTCTCACACACCACATCTGGTGAGTTACCAAATCCTGTTCATTCCAAC